CACAAAGCTGTGGGCATCGGAATGTCTGGTCTGACTCACTGCCTCTTCCCAGCACACGGTAGGACCTCAGGAATGCTGTATGCCATGAGGGGTCCTCCGGAGAACCTGTGCCATGCGTGGTGCATCTCTGGTCCACCTTGCCATTCCCTTGACTCAGGTCTCAGTCTGAAAAGAGCTGATCTTGGTGGCTTTGAACCTTACCAGGGTGCAGGATGGGAAGCGGGAGCCCCAGCAGCCTTGACCGATGGCGGAATCATCCCGCTTCATGCCAGCTTGCTGTGACCTCGCCAGAATCGCTGTTCCTTATTTATGTACTTAATAAGTATGTTATCGGTGTCTAAACTACAAAGTCATTTTTGAGGTGGGGTGGGGTCCAGACTGGCCTCAAACTCATGGGCCTCCTGCTGCAGCCCCTGCCCCAAGCCCCGGGGCCATAGGCACACACCACGTTCTGCTCCGCATTCAAAGCTTTTAACGCTTGGGCCCAGCAGGTTCTCATCAGTTAGCAGGAATGGCGTGTTGGCGTGTGATTTGCCTTAATGGGCTGTAAGTGGCCTGGCCTCTGCCGGTGTGTCTCAATCTGGCCCTCAGACTGCATTGAAACAATGGACCCCAAGAAACTGGATTTCTCCCCCGGAATCTCTCCTGGGAAAAGGACCAAGCTGAGGCCTGGTGCCAGCCAGAGGGCAGCTTGCCTCCCAGAAAGAGATTCCAGGGTGCTGGAGCTCAGAGCGCTGCAGTGGGCAGAGCCACACCACAGCGGAGACTGCTTAGCTGGGCACATCCCTGGCCCTGTGTGTATTTTAACCTCACGATAGGACTCCTGAAGACGGACACCTTTCTTGGGTCCCTCTCTCCACTGTGGCTGCATTGACTCTCCTTTTTCTGCATTTTTTTTTTTTTTTAAAGACGGTGTCTCTCTATGTAGCTCAGGCTGGTCTTGAACTCACAGAGATATGCCTACCTGAGTCTTCTGAGTGCTGGGGTTTTTTTAGTTTTTGTTGTTGTTTTGTTTGTTTGTGTTGGTTAGTTGGTTGTTGGTTGGTTTGGTTTTGGCTTTGGCTTGGTTTTTCTTACTTTGAATTTGGCTGCTTTAACTGCCTTTTCAAGGACAGATGGCCACACATGGATCCTCGGGGTCTGGGGTGTGACCTCGAGTTTGGTAATGCTGCAGTAGTATTATGGAGTTTTTCAGCTCACGCTTTCTTGGGCTTTTGACCTGGCCTAGCCAGGTCAAGTGACTGTGGTATAAGCATGAGGAGCTGGGTTCGATTCTTCGGCCCCACAGAAAATGGGCAGAGCAGCTGTACTCCCAGCGTGAGGCCAGAACTGGCTCCACAGGCACACACATGCACACGCGCCCTCCCCAAACACACAAACTCTCTTCTCAGGACAGTCCTGGGCTTTGTGATGGTCTTTCTGTGAGAGCACCGGTAATGATCACTGTCCTAACCCCACCCTACAGAGCACATGGAGCCCCTCTGGCCATGCTCTTGACCCACAAATGGAAACATCTGCTTGGCACGGGTGGGGTGAACACACCCACTTGCGTAGCCAGGCGTCACTGAGAGCTAAAGTTTCCATCAGAGTGATATCTTCCACTAAGAACAGAATCAAAATCTGTCTCAGAATAACGTGGGTGTTGTAGTAAATAATTAAAAAAGGAGTGTTGGGATTAATAATGTTTATTCTTATTTGCCCTAAAATTATCACAGTGATATTATTTAACCTGCTATCACAAATAGCAAGACATAGACACCTATTAGATTTATAATGACCTTATTTACCTTGCGCCTGGCCGATATTTCACTGTACTATCTCAATATCCTCACCACCCATCTCCCAGCCCCCATCCAATGCCATCCACCTTAATCCTCCTCATCTAGTCTACCTTCCATCCATAATCCCATGGTACTTGATTGTATTCTTCATCTAGGCCTTTTCACACCATTATTGGAGTCCTTCCTCCTGGCCCCATGTGGTTTCTTGTCCAGGCTAACCCATTATGCACCCTCCTTCCTCTCTTCCAGACCCTCTGATTCCTTCTTGAACCCAAAAGCTCTTAACCACGCCTACCCCATTCTGCCCTGCCCAGGTAGAGACTGTTTAATCAACCAATCACATATATCTTAGGAAGGTTTACAAAACAAAGATGGGTGTAATCAGACGTGGGCTTGTTTTTAAGAATCTGAAAACTGAAATGATTTCATTTATTTTGATCAGAGTATTTTATCACAGGAAAAGAAACTAGGATATCAGGCGATGATTACTATCTAGAATCTCTAAGGAGTTTATGAGCTGATAAGGATGATCAAGTTATTTTTAATGGGACAAAACATGAGCAAAATGTCATTTAAGAAGAAACGCAAAGGGCAGAGAGATGGCTCGGTGGTTAGGAACACTGGCTACTCTTGCGGAGAACAGAGGTTCAGTTCCCACCATCCCTGTGGGGCAGCCCACAGCCTCCTGCAACTCCAGTTCCAGGAGATCCAGTGCCCTCTTCTGGCCTTTGTGGGTACCAACGGGTGCATGCTGCACAGGAACACGAGGACATATACAGTAAGTACTTTAGTTAACTGTTTTCTTTTTTGACTCGCTCTCTGTGTAGTGCTGGCTGTCCCAGAACTCTCTATGTAGCCAGACCGGCCTTGAACTCAGAGATCCCCCTGCCTCTGCCTCCAAAGTGCCGGCATTAGAGGCATGCACCACTATGCCCAGCTAACTCTTCCTTTTTAAGGTAAAAAATGGTATGTGACAGGACACTCATTTGTCATGAAAGAAGTGCCATTTGCACCAAATGCACTAAGGGAACCTGAGAATAGCCAAGGGCAGGGAGGGTGCAAGTTACTGAAGCGGTAGGATGGCAGTTAGAAGGCATGAGAGTCCTGGCACTGCCTTGCTGGGCTTACAGGTGTGTGCCACCATGCCCACCTAATAATCTTTATGGCCAGGCATTGCCTGGCTCAGCTAAGTACCCAGCTGCAAGAACTGGCATCTAGCCAATCATACAGTCCTGAGGGAACAACTCTCTTTGCCGGAAGATGTCCAGTGTTCTGATTAGAAGCTGTTCCCTCCACCCAGGTCTTAGAGACAGCTCAGAGGGGATGTGGGCGCTGTTTGTGCTGTTGCTTGACATGGAAACTGACATAATAGTCTGAGGGAGGAAAGGGTTATTTGGGCCCACAGTTTCTGGTGGGGTGGAGGTTGGTCTATCACAGCAGAGAGGGCATGGTTCCAGGAGCACACAGTGGCATTTGTGGCAGCAGGAGCCGATCCAGAAGGCTCTGCACACTGGGTGGATCAGGAAGCAGAGAGAGCAGGCTGGGACCGGGGATATGTAGACCCATCAAGGGGCTGTCCTGAGAGTTTCCCACCTGTCAGCCAGGCTCCGCAGCCGCCAGCAGGAAGCCAAGCATTCAAGCATGAGCCTGGAGCAGACATTCAGAGTTGAGCGGTAACATAGAGCCACAGCTAGAACGGGCCTGCGATCACAGTAAGAAATGAGCTAGGGGACGGGGAGGCGCGCAGCTGAGTACGCGCTTGCCGAGTTCCATCCCCAGAACCCCTGTGTACTAACATGCACTCATCCCGGCTCTGGGAAAGGTGGAGCCTCGGAGATCCCCGGGGCTCTGGAAAGCTGCTGAGGCACCTGAATGTAGCTCAGGGAGGACAGACTCGTAAATTACAGCAGCTGGTCTCTGAGAAAGGGACACCACGAGTGCGGCACAGAGCAACAGGAGTCACAGATACAACGCTGCATGGTTAAAGCAGCTCACAGCTGCCACCACCCAGCACGCTATCAGAAAGCTCAAAACACGCAGCTCCATTCTGTGGTGCCTAACTATGTGATAAGAATTTCAGGAACCAGAGAAAAGGAGGCTTACATTTTACAAGAGCCCAATTTTTATATTTTTGGGTGTTTTTTTCAAAAACTGAAGGGATAGCTGGGTGTGGTGCCACCCAGTTTTAATCCTAGTACTCTGGAAGCAGAGGCAGGAGGATTTCTGTAAGATCAGGGCTAGTGTGGTGTACACAGTGAGTTCCGGGACAGCCAGGGGAACACAGAGATGCTGTTTGATCAATACAAGTGAAAACCATTCTTGGCTCTTGAGCCAAGGCAGGCAAGGTCTGACTCTGGCTGGTTGGGAGGACTTGCTCCTTGGCGGCTCACAGGCGTTCCCTCCTTGAAGTGCCTTGCACCCTGCACCTTCCCTACCCATTCACTGATGAGCCTGACACAGAGGGATAGAGGGGATGAGGACACAAGAGAGGCAGACCTCTGACCGCCTCTGAAGAGCCCCCTTTAACAGGCCTCCCCAGACAGTGGAGGTGATGGTGTAGGGAGAAACTAGATGGAAATTTGGGGAAACTACTGCTTCATACAGCTTACTGTCAGGCATGTTTACATACACGAACATACATGTACACCTCCATTAATTTCACAATGATTTAAGCTGGACCATTGGTCTATGTGATCCAACTGAAACTGTCGTTTTCTTTAGATTAGTCATATGTATGAGCTGGGCATGGTGGCTCACGCCTTTAATCCCAGTACTCGGGAAGCAGAGGCAGGCAGGTTCAAGTCCAACCTGGTCTGTAATGAGGGTCCGGGACAGCCAAGGCTCTGTTAACACGGAGAAACCCTAGCTTGAAGAAAACAACATATCTACCTTGCTAAGGAGAGTCTAGAACTTGGTCCTTCACCACCTGCTCTTCCCACACTCCTATGAAAAATGTCAAGGGCTGGAGAGACACTGTGGTGGTTAAGAGCACTGGCTACCCTGACAAAGGACCTGGTTGATTCCTAGCACCCACATGGTGGTTCACAGCCTTCCATAACCCCAGTTCTTCTGGATTCAACCCTCCCACCCTCTTCAGGCATCAGGAAAGAGGTCATGTACACACATACACACGCACAGTAATACACATACAAATTTAAAATCTAACAAGGATTTAAAATAAACTAGATCAGCAGTAGAAGGGATTCGGATGGGTGCGTGTGGACACCTCATCTAGGGTGGTGGTTGAGAGCAGAGTGTGGGGTGCCATGTGCTGCTCATCAGGATGGGGATCCTAGTGCTGCTTCTCCTCGCTTTCCTGAGGATCCCCACATCTTCTAGGACAGCGCATCATAGCTCATAGCCCCCTCCTCCTTCTTCTTCCTGTGGAAATCGGCAGCTACAGGCGTCTTCCTCTTGAGCCATTTGAACTGCCTTCTTAAATGCTAGGAAAGAGCGAAACGATGTAAGACACCTCCAGTCTGCTGCTGTTACACAGGCCACACCCCTAGATGTTCTCCACGCTAACGTGAGCAAACTCACCCGCAAGCCAGGTACAGTATGTATGAGCTCTCCGGGGATTGCTTATTTTACCTTACTGTATTATATTTGATTGTGTTTTGTTTTGTTTACAGACAGAGTCCCTATTGTCTGGGCTGACTTAAAACTGTCTGTAGATCAAGCTGGCCTTGCTGATCAGCCTCCCAAGTGCTGGAATTACAGGTAAGCCCCAGTGTGCCAGGATTTCTATCCTCCTTCCTGCCTGCCTGGATTTCTTTAAAAACCATTTTCTATATTTTACACAGTAGCTTCCAAACAATAACAAGCCAAGGCCTGAGCCCAGCTCACAGTACCAAAGTGCGGCCTTCACTGTGGGAACCGCTGTGGGTCAGTGCAGCAGCCGCTGCTTTATTCCCACTTCTTTCCCATGTGATCCTGTGGCACCGAATTCAAAGCTGTCCTGCTATTTCCATCCATGAAAGCAAAGAACTGCTCTGTGTGGGGCTGCAGCTTTGGCGGCTGCTACTCTGTTCCACGAAGCTCACAGTGTGAGGAAGATTGAAAACCATTGTCCTCGACAATCAGGGATCATCACAGTAAAGGCCAGGTCAAGCTTCACTGCTCTTCCTCAGAAGAAGCTGATGGGGCCTCAGACTATACTGCCACCCCTGCAATGCCACCCCAACAGGGGCCACCTAGACAGCAATAAGGAAGGGTGCTTGGCCAGAGTCACGTCAGCAAGGCCTCCTCCAAGGAAGTTTAGAGCAGACTTCCCTGAGAGTGGCCTCAGGGAACATCTGAGAAAACAGAAGGTTTAGATAAGGCTCCAAGTATCATAACGTAGTAGGTTTCAATGCAGGATCAGTCACGCAACCAGGAACCTCTCAATCTGAGAAGACATAATTGAGTCACGGATGCCAAGAGTCTAAAATAGCCTCCCTCAAAATGCCCAAGCAGCAACTAGAACACATCAGAAACAAGTGAAGAATAAATCAAGGTTGCAGAGCTGTGGGCAGAGGTACACGCCTACAGCCCAGCTACTTTGGGGACTGAGGTTGGAGCATTGCTTGAGGCCAGGAGTTTGAGACCAGAAGGGAGATCCAGAGAAAAGATCAACTGTAGCTATTTTAAAACCGAAAAACTGTGATCATTGAAATTTTGAAAATTAATGTCTTCATAACAGAAGAGGGCAGAAATGTCAGTATCCAATCTAGAAAGGCATAACTGCAAGAAACGGCCAGCGACTCAAGGACATGTGGGACTCTGACAAAAGATCTGAATTCACATCCCTGGAGCATGGAGGGCAGGAGAAAGGAAATGGGGCTGAGCGTTTTGAAAAGCATTGAGGAACTACTACCTGATTCGCCGCCACCACATGCCACTGCCTCAGATCCGCAAACAGCAATGCCTACAAGTTCTAGAAGCTGACTGAACCTCAAACTGGATGAGTCCAGGAATCCACACCACATCACAGCCACAGCTCTGAAGACAACGGCCAGAGAAAAGTCTACAGCAGCCAGAGAGAGCACCATGCCACTTTCAGGGGAAACCCCAGTAGAATCACAGCAGATCTCTTACCAGAACTCATGGAGGCTGGCAGGAAGTGTCTCCCACCATACAGGAGAGCAAACACTGTCCCTGTTTATACATGACATTGTGGTCTATGCAGAAAACCCGAAGGGATCTGCAAGACGCTCCTTGAGCATGTGTGAGTGTGCTCCTCAGAGACACAGGACAGAAACCAGGTTCATACGAGCACTGCGTCTAGATGTAATAAACACATGATTTAAGGCACTATATCAGGTCTAATTGTTTAGAGGGGGGAAGAGAGGGTACTGGGGAGCTAGGAGAGGTGGTTCATGCCTTTACTCCAAGCAGATCCCTGAGTTCAAGGCCAGGCTGGTCTACAGATAGGGTTCCAGGACTACACAGAGAAACCCTGTCTCAAAAAACCAAACCAAACAAGCAAACAGGCCTGTGGCTGGAGAGATGCTCAGTGGCCAAGAGAGCTTGCTATTCTAGAGAGGACCTGAGTTCAGACTCTAGCACCCATCTCCTGGAGTTCACAGCCTCCATTCCAAGGGTCTGTCACCCTTGTGGGGCACCTAACATTCACTTACCTGGTGTGTGTATGTACATACATATATATAAAGTTCCAAAAGTATGTTTACAAAAACTAAAGTGCTAGCCACCACTCTTGAGGACTGGAGAATCCCACAAAATTGCCAGCCTGGCTGGGAGTAGAGAGATGAGATCAGATCCTCAGAACAAGCTGTGTAGCAAAAGCTCTGGGTTTTACTGACAGACCTTGCTTTGTGAAAAAGGAAAAAAAAATCAAAGATTATTCCTAACATCAAAATAGGGCCTCCTCATGCACATTTATCAAAACAGGTAATGCCCAAATGTGAGCCAAAACACACAAAAATGGGGACAGGGCTAGTAAAATACTCAGGCCTAAATCTTAAAAAAAGTATATACAGGATTTATATATTGTAAATTACAGAATATTGGTAAGGTAAGAGAAAGCGTAAATGGAGAGACACCCTATTCACTGATCAGGATAGCTAACCAAGAAGACATTTCCCCACAGATTTCAGGAGATCTGAAATGCCAGCTGCTTTTCTGTGGACACAGATAAGAGTCTCATAAAGTTCACATGGAAATAGAAAAGTAGCTAAAGCAAATCTGAAAAGGAAAGAGGAGGCAGGGCTCCCCCACACTCTGCTCAGTTTTGAGGCTGATTTTGTAACTACAGCAATCAAAACGGTGGGTGCTGTTCCAGGCCCTGCCCCTCACCAGCCCAGCCAATGCTGTGGGCAGCCAGAGGAAGGGAGACAGTGTTCTCTTGGGGTGACCCTGGAACTACCGGGCACACACAGCTCCCTCCCCGCAAAGGAAAAAATCTTGACTGTAATTTCTCACACTTTATACATAACTAACAGCTTTAAATGTCAAGCACGGGTGTGTAAAACTTGTAGGCACTAACACTCGGGGAAAGTTCAAGCCTTCAGACCAGGGTGAGTGGGGGGTCCTTAGATGTGGCTGGAGAGGCAGCCCCGCAAGGAAAAGCACCTGCTGCAGGGGCCTGACAGCTTGAGTCTGATCCTGGGCCCACGTGGTAGGAGGAGAAGACCTACTCCTCAGCTCTACCCACATGCACTTGTAGGTGACTGTATGCGTGAGCACACACCAAGAGGGGCATGGGGGGAAGATGGGGAGAAGGAGGGAGAAGTGTAAAAAAAAAAAAAAAAAAAAAACAAACAAACAAACAAAAAAAAAAACCTCTTTTTAAGCCAGCCACAGTGGTGACTATCTGTGAGGTCAGTACTCCTGTGGCAAGATGGATGAGACACACAGCTGGTGGGGGTGGGGAGCTTGAGGAAACGAGCTCAGCCAAGGGGCCAGAGGAATCTACTTCTGCAGGTTGTCTTCTGCCCTCAGCAAGCCCACAGTAGCACAGGCACACAAACAAGTAAAAACGAACTAAAAAACTAACCATATGACCCTACAATTGAATTTCTCTTACGAGACACAAAAACTCACTTTCACGTGAAACCTTACATAAGTATCCATATTTTTCTTTTTACATGTAACGGTAAAAACAGCACGGGGCTAGAGAGATGGCTCAGCAGTTAAAAGCACTTGCTGTCACACAGGACCCCGATCAGTTCCCAGCACCCACACAGGACTCAGCTGCTCATAAGTCCAGGTCCAGGACATCTGGCCTCCACCTGTTCCTGCATGCTTGTGCTGCACATAAAACTCATGCAAGCAAACACATGTAACATAAATATTTAAAAAACTAGGAGTCAAGAATGGAAACTGGATGAGGGGCTGCCAGAGAGAGCAGGGCTGGGTCTTGCTTGTGGATAGTTGGGGGCTTTAGTTTCCTTGTTGTGTCATGTAACCTAGGACCTTGAACTTGGGAGCCTCCTGCTGTAGTCTCTCACAGGCTGGGGCTCCAGGCACACACCCCACTTCAGAAGTTCCGTGTTTCCATTGTGTTACGTGACTCTACATACCTGACAAAGTGACATATAGCTATGTGTGCTCTGGGCATCATTGTCCTGGCTGCATTGTGGCATTAGAGACTTGTGAACGGCATGTGATCCTATTCTGTGAATGTATAATTATATAAAAATGAAAAGGTTTTTTTAATGACTGCAATTCACTCTGTAATTAATCCCTTTGAAGCCATGTTGACAGAAACCTGGTGCCACTCTGGGTGGGAGGTGATGGTTCTTTTGGTAGCTTAGAGGCTGCTCCACCAGAAACAGAACTGGGAAAACACCAAAGAAGGGGAACAGACATCTGCAGCTGGGCAGATACACACTGTCCCCTTCATTGATAAGGAAAGGACAGATGGCCGAGTGGGAGGACTTCTCAGAGTAAGAAATCCAAACAGCCAATCAGATGTGAAGAACCATCTAACCTCAACCACCATCAAGGAAAGGCAAATCAAAACCACAATGAGCCACTATTCCCCACCCACTAGACAGATAAAAATAGTGCTCTACACCCAGCGTTCACACGGAAGTGGAGCAAACAGCACTTGCACCCTGCTAAGGAGGCGTTCGCTGTGTCTCCACCATTTGGGAAAGGTTTGACCTACCTACTTGGACAGGACTTGAGTTCCTCATTGCCACATCTTCCCCCACCACAGGGTGAAAAGCAAGAATGAAGTGTGGGAGATGATTCACTGAGACGTGCAGAGCAGGCAGTTACCCTGCTGGGCCATCTTTCCAGGTCTGTCCTCAGACTTTTTACATTGTGCGTGCATGCGTGCGTGTAGGTCAGAGGACAACCTGTGGGAGTCCGTTCTCTCCTACTAACCAGTGTTTGAACTCAGGTCATCAGACAGTGCCTTTATCCACTGAGTCCTCCTCGGAGAGATGCACTCCCGCCTTCTAGCACTTGGGGCTGCAATTTTGCCATCTGGATGCTCTGTGTCTTTGACCATCTCTTAAGTGGCCTATCAGCCCTCATCCTGTCCTTCACAAGGTCAAAGGACAAGCTGTCCCATCTATGAGCCAGGAAACGCACATAAACACTGAAAGCTTTTGTGGAGGGGTTACTGATGCTGTGCCGGACACCAGCTTGATTCCTTATAATTAGCCTATCAATGGATGGAATCTGCTTTTGGCATCTTTAATTCACTCTGCAGTAGTCCACCTTTACACCCATTTCAACACCATCCAGTTCTCCCCACTTCCTTAGGTACAGACCAGAGCCCCGGCCAAGGCTATGTACGCATCCAGAGCAGCAACATCCAGAGTCCTTTCCTGGTTTCTCTGTGCCATGGGCACAGGCTGGCTGGGTGCCCACACGCACAGGTGAACAGTTATCTGGGATTGGGGCACATGTGTCCAGTGTCCTCTCCATACCCCAGGTCCTGTACTGCCTCTGTCACCACCCTAGTGACATGTAGAGCCTCATCCTTGTAGGAAGGGGCCACAATGTCGCTGTGAGGGTTCAGCAGTCTACGCAGCCTCTGCTCCAGCTGGGCCTCCCAGCACCAAGCTACAACCACCATTAGCCAGACTTTTGGCTACTTTGTGGGTTCCTTTTCCTTCTGCCGTTCTCCACCCCTTTACTTCTTCCCTTTCAACCCCCTAACACTAGATAAAGGAGGACAGAGGGGGAAAGGGGTGATAGTATCATTAGACTCCTTCCTGCTGATTAGGGGCAAATGTGATCTTTTGCAGTCAGGATATCTGATTTCTCCTTTTCATCTCTTCACACACAGCTACATGACAAACTGTAACCAGCAGCACCCAACCACCAACCGGCCCCTCTGTCAGGGTGCTAGCATTTATACCCTCTAAAAAGTCCCCAGAATTCCAGTTGTCACACACTCCCAGAAACTAGCTTCATCTGGCAAAATCATCCCCCTGCTAGAGCATGAGGCAAATCATAGCCAGCTGCTGTGGGCAATCTGAAGCAGACCAGTAAACCATACCTGGGATTTAAAAAGAAAACAAAAACAAAAACCCAAACATTCTTATCATATTTCTGTGTTTTTAAAGAAACCAAAATTCTCACTACATAACTGCCTCCAGACATTGCCAATATCCTGTGGGAGCAAGTCTTCCCGGCTTTACAATCACTGTGCTAGTCAACTGTATGCCCATAACTTAAAAAAAAAAAAATCCCCAAGCCTACAATATGGTTAGGTGAGTAAAGGCACTTGCCATACAAGCCTGAGGACCCGAGTTCAGTCCCTGAAACAGGAAGACAGCCCACCCTGCAAAGTTGTCCTCCGACTCCCAGACCAGTGTCCTGCCTCCCTCCATGTTCTGGTTGTATTGGCCTTACGGTGCTTGATTATGTAGAGGGATTCCTTTCTGATCCATCTGGCCACGGAGAGCCCGAGAATGATGAAGAGCAGGAACAGCAGCACGGCCGATGTCAACGACAGGAACAAGGTGAGGACATTCATGGAGCGCTCTCCTTAGAGAGCAAGGAGAGAAATGCCAGGCTGTTTAGTGAGGACAGGCTTGACCTGAACTCACCCCCGAAATGCACAGAGTCTGGGGAGGCAGATGGCCTGGGCATCCCAACCTGTAGCTCACTAAGCTTGTATGAGTTTACTGTCTCTGGTTTGTTCTGTTTTGGTTTTGAGACAGGGTCTCACGTATCCAGCTAGCCTCAAGCCCCAACTTGTCTTTCCAACTCCCTATCCTCCTGCCTCCACCACCAGAGTGGGGACTACCGGTGTGCACCACCATGCCCAAAGTCACGCAGTTCTGGGATGGATCCAGGGCCTTTCTGGCATGCGAGGCAAGTTCTGCCAACTGGGTCACACCTCAAGTCCTAAACCCAAGTGACTTAAAAATGAACCCAAGTTTAACGATTTTCCTAGAGGCCTACAGAAACTAGGTAGCCTAGGCCCACTGAAGCTAGAGAAAGTACAAGGCCCCTCAGTCCTCAGGACTTGGCCTGTTTGGGTCCCCATTACTGATTCCTGATTGGGTAACAACACCTAGGAAAACACGACGGTACAAAGAGGATGGCGTGTCAGAGCTGCCTGCTCTGAGCAGGGCTGGGAGAATCAGCAGGCCCAGGGCATTCCCACATGGTCTGAATAGACATCGTGCATTTGCTAAGGGGAAGCCTGTATTTATGTAGCCCAGGCTAACCAGGAACTTGCTGGCCTCCTGCCTCAGCCTCTGCAGTGGGGTGACTCCAGCTGTGTGCCACTATAGCTGCTCTTTAACTTGTATTTAATAACAACAAAACAATCACCTGATAGTCTCTCCGGAGTAGGAACGGTTGTGGGGGAGGTACCTGGAAAGATGCTGACCAAAACAGGTCCACAGACCACATCTGTCTCGCTGGTCCCATTCTTAAGCACAGACTGTCCATGTAGAGAACAGCTTAGACAGGTCAAGAAAAGGGATTCAGAGGATTAGTTTAGGGTTGGAGGAGCAGAGGAAAACTTCGGTATCTGTCACTCCATGAAGCAGCCAAGTGACGAAGCAGGTGGACCTGGGCTCACAAGCAGTGGACAGATCGTGTGAGAAAGCTCCGAGAGGCCATCTGGCCTCCACCAGTTCCCCTCAGCTGTGAGGGTGCCCCAAGCTTCACCCACCCACCCACCAGGCTCTTCTGTCTCCCCAGGGTAAGGAGGCACACGCATTCTGTCTTATTCAGTGTGGCTCAGCCAGTGTGGATCAGCATGTTGTGACCCACTAGTCTCTCAACCCTTCCCCCCAGTTCTTGCTCCCCCGACTGACTTGGGCACATGTGAGGGCGACAGTATGGATGGGATCAGCGGCAGCAGCAAACATGCAGGCGTAGCCCTGGGTCTGCCACTTCAGAGTGACCTTCAGCAAATGTGCAAAGCCTTGATTTGCTCAGCAGCCGAAGGGGGAGCAGCCTGTGCTCCCAGGATCAGGACTGAAGCAAGTGAACAAGCTCCAGGGGCAGAATCTCACATGCTGGGCATATTTAATAAATAGCGACTGTTGCTGCTGTCATCACGACCATCACCATCCTCACCGCAGTCACTATCACCTCCCATCACCATCATCACCATCATCACCATCATCACCATCATCACCATCCTCACCGCAGTCACTATCACCCCCATCATCATCATCACCATCATCACCATCATCACCATCCTCACTGCAGTCACTATCATCCCCATCATCACCACCATCATCACCATCATCACCATCACTACCACCATCATCATCATCACCGTCATCATCACCATCCTCACCGCAGTCACTATCACCCACCATCATCACCGTCATCATCACC